GCCCAGGCCACATGTGTTACCCATATATGAATACTCCATATGTGATCCCTAAAAAGAGCTACTTTTTCCACATTTGTGGAAAAGTTTAATGTGGGAGTTTAATGGGGAGAGGTTATTTTCTTGATTATATCCTCATTGGCTCAAGGATCCTCTCCTCAGTCCAGACCATCAGTGTGGTCTAAACTGTCTTCTAGTCTGTCAACATAAATATTTGCCCCAGTGTAGACATTCCTCTTTGAGAAAGGGGAACTAGTTCTGCTGTACTTTGCCCTGACCATAATGTATCTCAAGTACTATGTTCATATGAACAAAGGATTATATTTGACCCAGAAATACCATTACTAGGTCTGTACCACAAATATATCAAAGGAAAAGAAACCATATGTACAAAATATTCATAGCAGTTCTCTTTGCAGTGACAAAGAATTAGAAAGTGAGCAGATGCACATCAATTGGAGAATGGCTGAAAAAGTTGGGATATATGATTGTGATGGAATGTTATTGTGCTGAAATGATGAAAAAATGATGAAGTGAATGAATTTAAAAAAAGAAAAACCTGGGAAGACTTATGGGCTGATGCAAAGTGAAATGAGCAGAACTAGGAGAACATTGTGCAAAGTAGCAGCAATATTGTAACAATTAACTGTGAAAGACTTAGCTACTCTGATCAATACAATGATCTATGACAATCCCAAAGGACACATGATGAAAAATTCTATCCACCTCTAGAGACAGAACTAATGTTCTGCCTCTAAGTACTAAATACAGACTGATTTTTTTATCACTTTATTTTTCTTGCCTTTTTTTTCCGTTTTGCAACATGGCTAATGTGGAAATGTTTTCCATGACTTCATGTATAATATGTAAGGTATTTCTGGCATTCTCAATGGGTGGGGAAGGAGTGGGAGGGAGAGAATTTGAAACTTAAAATATTTTTTTTAAATGAAGCACTATGTTCAGGTCTTTTGCTTTAATTTAGGAAAAAACATTAATAAACTAAAAAGGAAGGTAGAGGATGGTGAAGTCTTGAGTCCATAACATGTAAGGGTCAATTGAAAGAAGTAGGGGTGCTTAACCTGGATAAAAGAACAGTCCTGGCACCTAACTGCTGTCTTCAAGTATTTGAAAGACTTGTCATGTGGCAGAGTAGATTTGTTTCATTTTGTACCAAAGGTCAAAAACAGGAGTAATAGGTGAAAGTTACAAAGGACAACACAGCTTAAGACGAGCCAAGAGCAGCACTTCAGTGTAGACACCAAGCAAAGTAGTAGATAAGTGTTGTGATATCAAGAAAAGCTACTACTCTGCAATCATTAGAAATGTAAGTTGTCAGGGGTTTCAACATGCAGCAGTCACATTTCCTATGTTCTTACATGTTCCCTATGTGTATACTTTTTCATATGTATCCCTGACCTTACATATTCCCTAAGTATGTGATCCCTGATTATGCACATTCCTTGCATGTGTCCTCTCCCCCACTGATAGTATGGTAACATGTAACTCATCAACTGGGGCAAATTTTTCTTGTCACTTATTTTGTTACCTAGTTAAAATTTGAACTGATTTATTCTCTTGTAAACAAAACACTGTGCACTCAGTATCTAAAATTTTTAGTGGATGCTAACTCACAAAGTACCTTAAAGTTGAGGTAGCTCTCTGGGGGCCCACATATGAGGAGAGGTACAAGGTGCTACAAAAGCAGAGCATCCAGAGCAAGGAATATTAAAGTTCTATTGCAATGGCCAGATCACACATTTCAGAAAGGACATTGATAAACTAGAGCAATGATGCTCAAAGGAAGGTCCAAGGACTCCTAGGGATCACTGAGACGCTTTCATGGGGTCTATAAAATTAGAACTATTATCATGATAAAAAGGCATTTTAATTTCTAATGTGGTAACTATCGATAGGACCCACATAAACAAAAGCTCTTTGAATGTAAGAGGATCCTGAGACCAAAAAGTTTGAGAACTGCTGAGCTAGACTATATTGAAAAGATGGTACTTAGGAAGTTAGGGGATGAGAAACCATACTAAAAGTTAGCTATTTTGATTATGTGAGGGCTGTTTGAAGAAACTGGGATGTTTACTTTTTTAAAAATTTTTATTTATTTTTTTAAACTGGGATGTTTAATCGAGAGAAGGGAAGACTTGGAAGAGATATTAGATATTTGAAGAGTTATGTGGAAAATGGATTAATCTTGTTTTGTTTGGACCCAAACAGCAAAACTAGAATCAATGGGCTTCAAAGAGGCAAATTTGAGCTCAAACTAAGGTAGAACTTCAGAAATGTACAAAAGTAGAGAAGATTGTTCAGCAGATACTGTATGCCTTATCACTAGAGGTCCTCAAGCTAGATGACTACTTGTTGGGAAAAGAGTTGGAGGGTATTCTTGTTCAGGCAGAAGCTATATGAACTAAATAATCTGAGGTTCTTTCCAACAGTGACTCTATAATCCTCTGAAATTTATGAAGTGTGCTGGCATTTCTAAAATTGTATTTATCTAACATAAATAAGTGGTGAGAAGCAACAGGCCATTGCTGGTGTTTTCTTTAAAATGTGAACCATACTTCTACCAGTACAGAGAGAGGAACAAAGGAATGCCATTCTCACACTGCTACGTTCAACAGCTAACTTTCCTTATTGCATGCCTTTTTGTTTTCTTCAAGTTAGTGTTAACTCTTAGATAACCAATCAGGAATTGGTTATGCCATATGCACTTGCTCTGCAAGAATGGAGTAGCAACAATTCATTAAAATGAAACCTTCTACATCTTCCTTTGGGAAGTAGTATGGTGCAGTGGAAACAATGATAAACTTGGCATTTGTGGGACCTGGGTTCTAATTAAGATTTAAATATTTGCTATTGGTATGACTATTAAGACCATGCTTCAGTTTATTCAGGCATCCATGGTATTGGTACAATCTCTCTGAGTCAATGAAATCCCTATTCAAGAGTTAATTCATCATCAAGAACCTTATGTTTCATTCATTCAACAAGTATTTATTTTATATCCTATAACTGTGTTTGGCCATGAAAGGGATACAAAGATAGTTTCTTCCTTCCAGGGATTTACAATCTAATTTATAAAATACGTGCAGATAGAATACAAGGAAGAATAAGTGCTGTAAGAAAGGTTTATGTTCAAAACCTTAAGAATTCAGAGGGAGAGAATAATTACAACCATAGCTATCAGGCAGGGTTTCATAAAGGAAGCAGCATTTGATTTGGGCCTTGAAAGATGGGTAGGCTTTGTATAGTCAGAGACTGGAGGGGAGAGTGTTAAAAGCTGAGGGAATATGAGGAAAGCTGTGGAGTTAAGAAAGTAGGGGGCAGCTAGGTGGCGCAGTGGATAGAGCACCAGCCTTAAAGTCAGGAGGACCTGAGTTCAAATCTGGCCTCAGACCAAACACTTGACACTAGCTGTGTGACCCTGGGCAAGTCACTTAACCCCAACTGCCTTAAAAAAAAGTATAGAGTGTTTGGGAAATGACAGAAATTACTGTTTGGTGGGAGCAACAGTGAAGGCTAAAAAGGATAAAAGTTAGAAAGTTGAGCATAGGGGTCTTGAATGTCAAGCTAAGGAGTTTAGATATATTTCCATGAACAAAGCTGCAAATAAGGAAGATTAATCTTGTGCAGTACACTGGAATGAGGTAGGCAATATAAAGGAGGCAAGGAGACTAGCAATATTACAAAAGTGCTGGCAAAAAAAAAATTAGGGTGGTAGCAGTGGGAACAGAAAGGACAAATTCAAGACACTTCTGCCACGAATCCATAAAATATTGACAAGCATATTAGTATTCTTACAAGTCCTTAAAACAGGACTGTTTTTAAAAAAAAAATTCAGTTGCTATTTGAAATTGTCTCCCCTCCTCCCCTTTTCTTCCAGATTAAAATCTTTCTCTCCTGGTCTTTGACACTCTCTCTGCCCATATGTTATGGTGGTCATTTTCCCCCTCCCATATAGTCCTCAGAATGTCATTCACCCATTCCCACTAGTAAAAGAATGGTGATACTGATGTCCTCTGCACACAAATACAACAAATAAATGAAAGCTGAAACACTGCCTAAATACAGCACCTTATCAATAACTAGGAAATCTTCTTTTACTTGTTTATTTGACCAGAACTGTGATTTCATCAGTGAAGAGAGCTCCAGGTGAAAATAGATCAACATTTTTTCTCAATAATATATTATCTTAGAGAAGTTGCATGGGGGGGAGGGGTCAAGTGACTTGTCCAAGGACAAACAGCCAGAATGTCAGAGGAAGACTTGAACCCAGAGTTTTCTGATTTCAAGGCCAGCTGTTTAAAAAAATGTATATCTAGACATTACTAAGGTGAAATAAATGCATTAATTACAGAAGTTTATGTAAATGTGCAAGATTAAATAATAAAACAAGTGAATTGTGATATTAATTATAAAATTCACTTTAAACAGAGTAATGAGACATTTAGTGCTGGTTTAATGTTAATGGTGTTTGATCTGTAGCATACACATGCTCTAGAGACCCTTAAACACCTCCAAACTGTACTGGAAAACTCTTTAACTCTACTCTGCAGAACTCTTCTACTTTTTTTTGAAAAATTTGATTCCTATGTTCAGAACATAGTATCAAAACATACTAGTACAGTTATATGAGGAGGTTATTCGGTCTTTAGAATATAAGATGCATTTAAGAATAACAAGAGATTTCATATATGGGGTGTAAATGTTATATAGACTTACACACTCATTGTTACTCACAAACTACGCTGGTTTCAAAGAGGGAACTCTGACAACAGAGAGCCCTAGCTATCAATTTTGTTATTTGCAGTAAGAATAGGAATGCATATTTGGAAGTGTAATGTGATCCCATGTGGATGATTAAAAACAAGATTTCAAGAAAAAGTCTAGGGCTGTACTTACTGTAAACATATTGTATCTTCTAAGTAGAATGTAAGCACTTTGAAAGCAGGGAGTCTTGCTATTGCATTTGTACTGAAATTCCCATAAAGTAGATCCTCAATGTTTATTGACTGACTTGCAAACCATTACTAAGACTGCTAGACAAGATTTCAATGTTTTTTTTTAACATTTTTTCTTTATTTGTTATACTAATAGACCTTCTGTCTGGAGGGGCTTCTATACTGTTCAAATAGGAAAACTATGAATGACATTTTAAACTACAGTGATTACGTCAAGGAATTTTTCTCCAGTGTTTTTTTTCTATTGATAACAAAGACCTGAGTTCTGACTAAAAGTTTTCCCAAACTCATGATGCTGAAAGGATTTTTTCTCCACTGTGGCTTCTCTGATGTTTAATAAGGTTTGTACTCTGACTGAAGGCTTTCCCACATTCTTCACATTCATAAGGTTTCTCTCCAGTATGGATTCTCTGATGTAGAACAAGGGCAGATTTCTGTCTGAAGGCTTTCCCACACTTATCACATTCATAAGGTTTCTCTCCCGTGTGTATTCTCTGATGTAAAATACGGTTTGAGCTTCGACTGAAACTTTTACTACATTGATTACACGGATAGGGTTTCTCTCCAGTGTGGATTCTCTGATGCTGAATAAGGCTTGAACTTTGACTAAAGGATTTCCCACACTCAACACACTCATAAGGCTTCTCCCCAGTATGGATTCTCCGATGTAGAATAAGGTGTGAGCTATAATTGAAGGCTTTCCCACACTCCTGACATTCATAGGGTTTCTCCCCAGTATGAATTCTCTGGTGATTAAGAAGATGTGAGCTCTGACTGAAGGCTTTCTCACATGTATCACACCCATAAGGTTTTTCTATAGAGTAGGTGCTTTGATTCCTAATAAAGCCTGAGCTCCAAGTGAAATTTTTCTCCCATTCATTATCTTTATGTTGTCTCTGGCCCAGCAGATTTTCCTTCCTTTTTCTCAGTCTACCCTTATGGTGTTTATCACATTCTGAAACCTGTGGAATATTGCCATTAATATTTCCAGAGACATCCTCATGTAGTTCTTTTTCTGTAGAAATTTCCTGCTTTGGAGTTAAGTGTTCCTCACTCTGATTATCACCACCTAAAATAAACAAAGCAAGGAAATGTCATTGATTCTCAGGAAAACAAAAAGGATTGAAACAAAACACCAAGAATACTAAAAATGTGTATGTATACTACTTACAACAAAGTAGTACTATGGGAAAGGGACAATAAGCCAACTTTAGGACTTGAAGAAACTACAGAGGTTTTAGGAATAATTGACAAAAGTGATTAAATCAATGAAGAAAGCTTACAATATGGATTGTTTAGCATTGGAAAGAGCAGATGACAGGGTGAACTGATTATGGACTTTAAATGTATAAAAAATTTTTATGAAGGAGATGATAATCAGTCATTCTTAATATCTACTAAGTTAAAAAAAAAGACAGGAAAAAGGTTTAGATGAGAGCAGATGATTTTGATTAGTCATAGGAAAGGACATTTTTTAAACATGTGGGTAATAAAATAGAACAATGAGGTTGTGTTGTTTGACCTTTTGATCTCCAAGAAGAAAGTAACCATCTGTTCTAGATAAATTAGATGTTCACCTGCAAAAAGGGTAGGTAACTAAGCTGTGATATGGAAATCTATATTTGAAGGTCTTTTTTTTTTTTTTGCTTAGGCGATTGGGGTTAAGTGACTTGCCGAGGGTCACACAGCTATTAAGTGTCAAGTGTCTGAGGTCATCTTTGAACTCAGGTCCTCTTGACTCCAAGGTCAGAGCTCTATCCACTGCACCACTTAGCTGCCCCCTTGAAGATCTGTTTTTTTAAAGTCAATTGTAAATAGACTTCCTAGGAAAAGGTAAGGGAATGAAACATTTGGAAATGAGGGGGATAAAAATGCAAAACCTGTCAAAACTTTTAAAAACTGCAAGTGTAATTTTACTTGATTTTATCACTAAAGATCATAACATTCTCATTTTAAAAAGTAAGCCAGGGGACTAAATCAAATCTCTTGCAATCATTTGAGTTCTGTAGTAGTAAGAAGTAAGTAGAGCAAAAATAAGTGGGAGGAAACAAGGGACTCATGGAAAGAGTGGGAGGCAAAGGAGGCCTGGAAATGGAGAGAAACCTAATTAAATGAGAAGTTCAGAAAGAGGTGCTGGGGAGCAGGAATAGAGAGGATAGTAGGCAATGGTCGGAATAGGACTAATAAGATATTAATGGTGTGGGATAGAAAAATTACGGAGGTTTGTCAAAACTATGGTAGAAGTCCATAAACACAAAAAAAGGATAATAACTTCTGACCTAAGGAGACATAAGGGATATGCATATTCCAACCATTTTTCTATCTTTAAAACACTATGCCTACAAACTACAGTGGGAAAACCACTTATAAAAGGGTCATCAGGAAGGTTATATTCTCTTCTCCCAACCATATTTAGAATAAACTAAGGGGCATTATATGGCCTCTAAAGAGATCCTGGATGAATGGAGAAGGCAGATGAAAAATGAAAGTTTACAAGCATGCATGCAATAAAAAATAACTTTTGTGAACTATGGGAATGAAGTGAAATTCAAGTTAAAATTTATGGGGGATGGGAAACACTTTAGTTCACTCAACAAGCACTTTTAAAGCACTAGAGCACTGTGTTAAATGCTAGGGAATATAACAAGTCTAGATAAAACACGTTCCCTTACCTCACAGAGCTAATGGCTTATTAGGGGCTAAGACACACACAAAAAGATAATACTTGCTAACTAAAGGTATATGTGCTAGTTCTTTTTATTCACTCTCTACTTTGGGCTGAGGAAGGTGAAATTACTGTGTTAAGTGATGGGGATACAAAGAAGGGCAAAAATAGTTTCTGCCTTCAAGAAATCCACCATCCAATGGGGGTGAGAATATCAAATGTCTATTTAGTATTTTGTATTTGATTCCATTCTATAATTGATTCTATTCTGTAACTACCTAAGCCATATTTCTTTGTCTCTGAGTTAAGTTCATGAGTTTAGAAGTTTAGCTTTCATCTCTGAGCTAAGTTGTCCCATAAATTACCTTAATTCAAAGAAATATATTATGTATACATATCTTATTGCCCATGCACAATTAAGGGAAATCTGTTATCTCATTAAAGAACTTTACAGATCCACGGACAATTAAGAAAGATCTGTTGTCTCGCTAACAAGCCCTGCAAGATGCAGGTGGGCACCAGAAAATGTTTTCTCTCCACTGCTGGCTGTCTTTCTAGTCTGTCAGTACTTAGTGATACCAACTAGCCATGTAAGTAAATACCACCATAATAACAAGATGTAAGGAGGGATGGTTGCTAGCCTTGCATTCCCAACTTCCATCCAACCATATTGGTTTTCATCATCTATACTTCAGAATTCATAATCAATCATATTATTTTCCATCTGTGATACTTCCTGTTCTTTGTTCTCCTGTACTTCCCAAAACTATATGAAGGCTAGTAAGCCCTAACTTATGGTCCTTTAGCTTACTGAGGAGCTGAAAGAATTATTTTATTGGTAATTGCTAGCCTTACCAATAAATTGAACATGCTCAGAACTTTATGCCTCAGTTTACCTTAATTTCAATCACAACAGAGGAGACAACATGCAAATAACTACACTAAAAAAAAGATACACATAGGATAAATTGGAGATAATTTTAGAGAGAAGGCCCTAGCATTAAGGGTGACCAGTAAAGGCTTCTTGCAGAGTGTGGGACTATAGCTGAGACTCGATGGAAGCCAAGAAGTCATATATAAAAAGAGAGGATTCTAGGCATGGTGGACAGCCAGTAAAAATGCTAGTTAACTAAAAATATAGAAATGTAGGTAGAACACCAGAAGTTTGACTTCAATGAGGAAGTTTACTCATTGGCTGAAAGTAAATGTAGGATTGTAGAGTAGGTGAATAAATTTGTTCCTAAGAACTCAGGTAGGTGAACCCTCAACCAACATGAGGGTGTTTTAGCTTCTGTAGGGGCAGAAGATCTTAGAAAGACAAAGATCAGTAAATATTGGTCAGAGCATATGGTGTGGGGTTGAGGCTTCCAGTTAGTCAATAAGTCAAAAAACATTAATGAAGCACTTCCTATGCCAAACACTGTGTTAAGTGCTGGAGATACAAAGAAAGGCAAAAACAGTCCCTGCTCTCATGTACAAATAAGATTTATATGGGATAAATTGGGAATAATCTCAGATGCAAAGCACTAAGATTAAGGAAGACTGGGAAAGGCTTCTTGCAGACAGTGGAACTGAGACATGAAGGAAGCCAACAGGCAAATATTTAGATGGAGAGGGTTCCAGGATCTAAGCTGAATAAACTAGTTTAGAAGTTTAAGTACCAAGTAGTCTGTTCTTTTATAACTACTTCAGGGTACCCGAAATCCTTAAAAATTTCAATACTTTGGTGGATTAATTACCTTATCAATATCTGCCAATGTGATTTCTTGACATTTCTGTATACTACTTTGTTTCTTTGTAAATAAATCTAAAACACAGTCTTTGTGGTCATAAGAATATGGCAGCAGGAATAATAAAGGAAAGTAAGCAGATGCTAGAGTCCAAGAAATGGTAAAGCAGAAGGGCGGATATAAAAATGACATTTAGAATTACATTAAATTCTCTATCTAGGGTATATGGGGTGTTCAAGGAGGACCTGGCACCTCTGGTGTGAGGACTTGCCAAACTCTTTTCTGCTCATTTACCTTTGATGTCTACCTGGCATTGAACTCTCATCTGTGGTTCCAAGAAGCTGAAGCATGTGCAGCAGCCAAGTAGATGGGCTAAACTAGGTTGAGGGTAACTGGGGCCTCAAGCCTGTCAGTGAGTTAGGGGGATGTCTACCCCAAGCATGAGAATACTTCCCCTGAAGGAATGAGTGGATGAGAACAATTTGCTCCAATGGCCATGAAGATGGCTGAAGAGCACTATAGAACATTTAGAACTTGGTCAGACATTGAAGACACTGCATCTTGTGCCATCAACAGTGATCTTGACTTTTGTCTTGCCACTGGACTTAAGTGACTCTGGAAGAGAGTCAGGCTGACAACTTTGTGCAACTCTGCCTCATTTAAATCCAATTCACTCATGAGTCAAGACATCACCCATGATGTCACTGGTCCTCTTTGAAAAAACGAAGGACAACAAAATTCTCTATACTAAAGTCCTTTCCAGTCTTTCCCTTTAGGAAAATGTTTGAAAGGTCAAGAATAATACCTAAGGGATGGAGGCGGAGGTGGAGGAGGTAAGTGAATTAAGATAGAAAAGTGGATCTGGAGAACAATTTGGACCTATGCCCAAAGAGCTATAAAATTGTGCATACCCTTGCATATCCTTTGACCCAGCAATAGTACTTCTAGGGCTGTATCCCAAAGAGATCATAAAAACGGGAAAAGGACTCACATGTACAAAAATATTTATAGCAACTCTTATTGTGGTGGCAAAGAATTGGAAATTGAAGGGATGTCCATCAATTGGGGAATGGCTGAACAAGCTGTGGTATATCAATGTAATGGAATACTACTGTGCTATAAGAAATGATGAGGAAGCAGACTTGAGAAAAACCTGGGAAGACTTATATGAACTGATGCTGAGTGAAATGAGCAGAATCAGAAGAACACTGTACACAGTAACAGTCACACTGATGACTGACTTTGATAGACTTGGCTCTTCTCAGCAATGCAAGGATCTAAGACAACTCCAAAAGACTCACGATGGAAAATGCTATCCACATCCAGAGAAAAAACTATGGAGTTTGAATGCAGATGGAAGCATACTATTTGCTCTCCTTTTCCTTTGTTGTTTTGTTTTATTGCTTTTTTCTTGTGGTTCCTCCCATTAGTTCTAATTGTTCTTTACATCATGACTAATGGGAAAATATGCTTAAAATGAATGTATAGGCTATATCAGATTGCATGCCATCTTGGGTGGGGAAGAAAATTTAAATTTAAATATCTTATGGAAGTGAATGTTAAAAACTAAAAATAAATAAATACTTTTTTTAAAAGATAGAAAAGTAGAACAGTGGTTTAGTTAAGATTTTTGTTTTTCCCATCCTCAGAAGGGATGAGCTATGACCTACCTAAGGGTGGTGCCCCTTTCCCTATTTTGGAGGGATTACAGTATTTATCACTGGGAAAAGGTCCCTTCCAATTACTTAGGAGAATACCAGAGAAGTGTGGTCAAAGAAGGAATTAGGTAGTTTTAGTGGAAGACTGACTATTCTTTTAGGTGGGATAAAATGTGAATTCAAAATAGTATTTTATCATATTGTAAACTTTCCCTTATTCAAGATTCCTATAAATGTTATTTTAAATTGTCTTGGGTTAGAGACATTTCTGAAGGCAAGAAGAGATGTGGCTAGTTTAGACCCCTCTCTCCAAAATAGAAATGCTTGGATTTAAATTAATGTTAAATGAATAACAACATTTTTTTTAGCACACTCATGTCTAAAATTCAGGGTACAATATTAATATTTTATCCTGAACAAATTTAAGTTCCTTAGTATGTAAAACAATAGATGCTCAATAAATGCTGTTGAAATGGAAAAGAATCTTGCATGTATGTGTATATGTGTGTGCAAAAAACTAGCAAAAATCTTAGTGGGAAGGAGGAAAGAAAGAAGCACAGGTAATATGTTCCTGGAAGGTACCAACCATTTTTTTGTTATTTTCTTCTACATCTATTTGCACATTGTATTTGCTCAATAAATGTCTGCTGAATCAAGGAAGAAACTGAAATCAAAGGAAAATTTGATGTACAGGATATCTGAAGCAAGATCAGTCAAAGGAGTGGATTGAGAGATGTTATTTTATGAAACCTGCTAATATTTTCATGACTTTATCAGAATGAAGTGAGGAGAACCAGGAGAACAATTGATACCATTACAACAACACTGTAAAAATGAAAACTTTTAAAGACTTATTATCTCTGATCAAAGCAATGACCAACCAAGAATCCCAAGTACAGATAATGAAGAATACTAGCCATCTCCTGACACAGAGGTGACGGACTAAATAGATAGAATGAGACATATAGCTCTGAATGTGGCTAATATAGAATTTTGTTTTGCTTGACTTTGCGTATTTGTTATGACTGTTTTGTTTCTCTTTTTTTTTTTTGAATGAGGGAAGGTGGTGGGAGGGAGAGAAAACAGATTTTTGTTAACTGAAAGGTATTCAATTTTAAAAAGAAAGATTATTTTAGCATCTAAATCTCAAATTCAAAGTCAGGGAAATTATGAAGAAGTTGTAGTGGAAGAAATAACATTGTAGCAATGTGTGGGAATAGAAAATGGCAGGATTTCATGACAATTTGAATACTGAGAAAGAATTAAGAAATCATAAAATTGAAACTTTATATTGAGAGAGTATGGTATATGGTGGTATCTCCCAAAGTGAGAAGTCAGAGGACTTTTCTGGGGAGGAAACATAAGAGATAATTTGTGTAATTCTCTACTTTCACCCTCCTTCCTGATAAAATCTTGCTTCTCACCTCTTTGTGACTGGAAGTAGGATTCTGTTGACTCACATTTGACCTGGGCCTCCAAAGCCTGGAGCTGAACACAAGAGGACTTCTGTAATGTTCCTAGAAATGTTGACTCCTCCAAAATCTCCTCTTTTCTGTAGGTAGAGTCTCTAACCTGGAGAAAATTAGGTACAGGTTGGTGTCATAAGATTTTTAAAATTTCTTTTTATTAGTCTTTATTATTTTGGAGTTCAGGGTTGCCTCTTCTGTTTTGGAGGTTATTTGCCTGGATGAAGCCTGTCTCATGGGATGTTAATATCAGGTGAAGGCCCTTGGACATTCCTGAGATAAGAAGCCAAAAGGGAGGAAAAAGGAATTTATTATACCTGTAATTTTAGTCAAGGCTTCTCAAGTAATTTAACACTTTTTATTTGTGGAAGGATCTCAACCAGCTCTAACCTTGTGATTATCTTTTGGCATGTAAATCTCCCCTCTCAATTAGTCCATTGTAAATTCTCTAAATGTAGCTTTGTATAAATCTTTAAGTAAAACTTTAGTATGGAGCTTCCCTTAGTTTACCTATAGACAGCAAAACTAAGTCTTCTTAACTTTTATGGCCTTAAAGGATATATGACCAAAAATTATCCTTCTGTCACTCTGATGTAACTGAAAACTATATAAGCCTTGTTAGAACTCTAGTCAAGGATCTGAGTTATTTTTCTGAGCTCTGGACCTATGCTTCAGCATAATAAAAACCTAAGTTTCAACCCCCTGGATCTCCATATGGTGAGTATTATTCAGCAGCAGTTACCTATCACAAGAACTCAGGAATATTTTCTCCATATCACATGTAAGGAAATCACTACAGGGAATGGAAATACAATCTCCAAGAACAGATATCCAGACTCTTATCCCCTCCACTCAATATCCAACAGAGAGCAGGGAAGAACAAGGATTTGTTTCATTAAATTTCTGATAATAATTAAAAGTAGAAGAAAAGAAGCAGATAAAGTTAACCCAACAGAAAACACATAGTTCAAGGGATACTGATGTTTGACAACATCCCATCATTCCTGCTCTATGCCTCTCATTTTTCTTACAAAGACATAACTCATATTGTCTCACAATAGTTGACCCATTCTCTTTCCTTTCCTACCTGCTGATCTGACTCATCAAACTCTTGCTCTAAATCCTCCAACATAGTCACTGCCTGTTCCCCACTCTTTGGATGGTGCTCCTGCAACCAGGCTTGTAGTTCTTCAGGCAGGATGGTCAGGAACTGCTCCAGCACTAGTAGCTCTAGGATCTGCACCTTTGTATGAATATCTGGTCTCAGCCACTTCTGACAAAGGTCTCTGAGTTGGTTCAGAGCTTCACGTGGTCCAGGAGTCTCCTCATAGCAGAAATGCCTAAAACGCTGGCGAAAAATCTCCCCATCAAAGGGTGTGTTCCACTGTAGGTCTGGTTCCTGTTCCCAGGCACAAACCCCTCCCAGTTCCATTTTCAGAGGTCTCTCTTCCTGTGGAGGTCCAGGGGTCAGGGATGCAACCTCCCTGGATTTTGCAGACATCATCTAGATTCAGGGGGTGCCACTTGAAGGAATCAAACTCCAGCTCTTGACTTTCTCTTTCAGGCACTTAAAAGAGAAGAAATTATTGCTGCTATAAAACAGAAACTTCCAATCTTTGTGGAGTTAACTTTAATTCTAACCTTATTTGTTTGCAATAATAGTAGCCCCACTTCTCTAAAGCTTTCAATATGATACAAACTTATCTTTCTTAAAGGCAATTAAATTTTTATATGATTAACTTTTGAGATTTTCACTATACCTCTGTAGATAATTGTTCAGTTAGATCTAGACAGGACCTTAAAAGACATTCTAGGAAAGGATTCTGAGAAGATGGCGGAATAGATCAGAAAATTTCAAGCTCTCAAGATTTTCCTCCACGAAAGAGATAAAATAGCACCTCAGGGAGAACACAGAGTGGTGAAAATAAATAAGATAAGGGGCAGAACAGGGGTATTCCTGGCACAGAGAAGATCTGAAGAAAAATCCCAAGATGAGGCTTCCTCCCTGTGAAGAGTAAACACCTTCAGGCTAGGTACCACTTAAATAACAAGCAGTATACCCTAGGGTTGGTTAGGCTGGGAGGCTGCCTGGGCCCCAGCCACAGGAAGCTTTCCCCTTAGGACAGTGAGAGGAGTTGGGTATCTGAGCTGGGGAAGATCTAGGAAACCTCTGGTGACAAGGAACGCCAGACTCGGCTGTGCTGAGGAGATGCAGTGGGGGCGAGAAGGAACCAGCCCAGACCTGGTAAATGCAGAAGCAGTGGAGCTGGATGCAGTTGGCTGTGAGCACTTATAGAAAGCTGGAGGTGTTGGTTTGAGTTCAAGATCAGAGAGGAAAACTGAAAAGGATCTGAGGCCAGAGGCACCATCCCCCATACCACAGGACTAGAGGTGATTATAAAAACTAAACTATTACCAAAAAAAAAAAATGCACCTGCAAAGAAGAAAGAAGCCAACCAAAGAGAACTATTATGAGAATAGAGAAGACTGGGGTTCATCTTCAGAGGAGGAGACTGAAGAAAAGAAACCCTCTTTTACCTCAAAGAGTAATGTCAAATGGTCTCCTGCCCAAAAAGAATTCACTGAAAAACTTAAAAAAGACTTTAAAAATCAAATGAGAGAGACTAAGGAAAAACTAAAAAGAAAAATAAGAATAATCCAAGAAAAACAAGGAGATTAGGAAAAGAATGCCAATGAATTAGAAAAGAAGATCCAGAATCTTAAGAAAATGACTCCTTGAAAATCAGAATTGGGCAGGGGGAAGCCAGGGAAGTTATATGAGATGAAGAAAAAAAAACCCAAAATATAAAGAATGAAGAAATAGAAGAGAATATAAAATATCTCATAAGAAAAACAATTGATATGGAGAACAGATCAAGAAGAGAAAACATAAGAATAATCAGACTACCTGAAAGCTATGATCAAAAAAATAATCTTGATACAATAATGCAAGAAATAATTAAAGAAAATTGTCCTGAAGAATTAGAACAAGAGCGGAAAGTAGAAATAGAAAAAAACCTACCAATCACCACCTGAAAGAGATCCTACGAGGAAAACTCACAGGAATATTACAGTCAAATTCTGAAACCGCCAGCTTAAGGACAAAATATTAGCAACAAGAAAAAAACAGTTTACATATGGTGGTACCACAATTAGAATCATACAAGACCTAGTAGTGGTAACACAAAAAGATCTCAGATCTCAGAACACTATATATCAAAGAGCAAAAGAATTGGGCTTCTGGCCAAAAATATCACACCAGCAAAGCTGAACAATTCTGAATGGAAAAAAAAAATAGACATTTAATGAATTGTCAGACTTTCAGGACTTTGTTAAAAAAACAAAAACCAAAGCTGAACTCAATAGAAGATTTGACATACAAGAGCCAAGCGAAATATAACGTTCATACCAATGACCAATTACAAGGGGCTCAATAAGGATAGACTGTTTACCTTTAATGTATGTAAAATATAAAACCTATGTTTAAGATTGTTATTAGTAATTAGGTAGCCAAAAGAAAGATTGGAGAAGACTTGAGTATGATATGACTTCAAAAAGTAAAACTGTTCAATAACAGCTAAAAGCGTAATTATCTTATACAAAAGAGGTTCAAGAGGAAGAACCAATGCAGAGGAATTAGACGGGGGAGAGGGGCTGTTAGTTCTGTAAACCTACTTTCATCCAGAACGGATTCAAGAGGGAAAAATACATACACATCTAGAAGGATATAAAAGTCTTCTAAATTTAGAAAGAAATAAAGCTCTAAGCGGGAGAGGATAAAGGAAGGATGTTTAGAGGGGAGGGTGAGGAAATAAGTTAAAAGGGGGACACAGAAAGGTGTTTAGCTCAACTGGAATGAGAAGATAAGGGAAGGATCTGTAGAGGGAAAGGTGAGGGAATAGGTCAAAGGGGTATACAAAAAGGTGTGCAGATTTAGGGGAATGAAATGATATGGGAGGAATTGCTGGAGGCGGGGTAGGTTAAGTAATAGGAGGGTAAGGTAGTGAGTAGAAGTAGAGGAGTTAGGAGAAATAGGAAAAAAGATACAAATATAAAAACAAGATTAGGAGTAGAATCTCTTAGGGAAAGTATATGTTTATTTTTGTATGTGTATATATGTATACATGTATGTATATATCAATATCTCTATATAAATATATCCATGCTTAATTGTAGCCTCGGGATGAGGGAAGAGGAGAGGAAGGGGGAAAAAAACCAAAGTAAAAAGCGTAAAGCAGAGAACAAAAGAAAACCTACAAGGAAGCAAAGGAAAGATGGATAGCTTTCAACATAACTCAGAATTTAATATATAGGCTTTCTTGAAATGGAAAGTTATTGCTATATATTCTGAATCCTCTCCTACATTCTGCTGTGCACATGACATTTTTTTCTTATTTTATATTTAAGTTTATAATGTTTCTTTTTTTCTTATTATGTATTTTAAGTATTTTTATGTATTTAAATATTGTATATTAAGTATTTGTCAATAAGTACAATTAAAAAAAACAAAAAAAGACACTGTAATCTCCTAATTTTATAAATAAGGAGGTTAAATGTCACAAAACCATGAGCTAAAATCATAAAATAAGTGTTAAAACACATACATGTACACAAAACAATGGAGTTGGGGGAAAAAAAAAAAAGCAAGAGTTAGGAAACATTAATGAAATATTCTTCTAGAAGCTCAAAGGAAAGGGAGAGGCTTACCAGAGCAATTCTCTGAACCCAACATATGACCAGTACAGAAAACAGCATTGTACACTTAATGGCAACAAGAAGTCAGGCTATCCAAATAAAGACAGAGGAACTTGTAAAATTACTGTTAGAGAAATGACAAATGCTAGTAGTAGTTCTTCTAAATGCTTACAGACTCAGTCATTCACTGACTTTAAAGTACTCAAATACAAGAATAATGTGAACACTGTGACGTGGTGGAAAGAACACTGGACTACATCCAAATTCTAGTCCTGGTTCTACCACTAACTTGCCTAGCGACCATGGGAAAGTTATTGGTGTCTTTCAGGTATAACATCTGATGGTTTTATGTTAACTGAAAAAGAAGACCTATGGGGCAGGTAGGTGGCACAGTAGATAGAGCACCAGCCCTGGAGTCAGAAGGACCTGAGTTCAAATCTGGCCTCAGACACTTGACACTTACTAGCTGTGTGACCCTGGGCAAGTCACTTAACTCCACTGCCTAGCCAAAAACAACAACAACAACAAAACAACAAAAAACCCTACGAGCTAGCTTTGAGATAGAAAAGTGGTATTTAATCCCAACAAAAAGTACAAATTAGGAAGAGGAAAAAAAGAATGTTTAAATCATTAAAAAAAAAAAAAGGCCAGGACTAATTAATCAACCAGTTTGTGCAGATCTCCATTTGACCCTTAACTATTTGCTTTCATTAAAGGCTCCATTTTCTTTTCTCTATTCCTTCTTTGATAATCTCATCTGCTCCCAGGATTTTAATTATCATCTCTATGCAAGTGACTCATAGATCAACATAGCCAACCTGTGGTCTCCCCAGAACTTCTGATGGCTTATTGGATATTCCAAATCAAATGTCTCAGAGACATCTCAAAATGCAATGTGTCTAAAACTGAACTCATCATTTCTTCCTCCCACTCCAATCTTTACCTCTTCCAAACTTCCCTGATTCTGGAAAGGCACTGCCATTCTTTCAGTGTCCAGGTTCATAACCTCAACATTATCCTTGACTTCTTCCTCACTCTCACTGCACATTCTTGCTGCTTCTACATCCACAGCATCTCTTACATTCAACCCCTTCTCACTAATCACAGTGCTACTCTTAGCTCAGGGCCTTGTTACTTCTCACCTAGATTATTGCAACAGCCTTCTAAATTGGTCTGCCTGGCTCAAATCTCTCTCTGCTCTACATGTTGCTGCCAATGATTTTCCTTAAGCACACATCTGACCACGTTACTGTCCTCATTCAGTAAACTACAGTGGTTCCTTAACTTCTTCTAGAATTAAATACAAACTCCTGTTTAGTTTTCAAAACCCTTTACAACCCAACTCTTATCTTTTTAAGCTCATCGTACAGTAATTACTCCAACTTCCAAACTTACAATTCAGTCAAACCGGTCTTATCCATTTTCCTTATACAGAACATTCCTTCGTTTCCTGTCTCACTGTGTTTGCACTTCTGGTGCCCCATGTCCAAAATGCATTCACTCTCTTCTCACTCCTGCTTCACAGAATTCCCTCCTTCTTGAAGATGCAGTGAAAGCATCACCTTCTACACAAAGCATTTCCTGATTCCCTACAAATGCTTAGTGCCTTCACTCCTAAACTAACTTGCACTGAACTACTTTGATTTGTCTTTATTTCCCTTATATTCTGCATATACTTGTTTTTTTCACCTACTAGAAGTAAGTTCTTTGAGAACAGGGATTGTTTCATTCTTTGTATTTGTATACCCAATATCTAGCACAGGTGCTTGATAAATATTTGTTGATTGACTGATTCATTTATTCAGAAAGTCACGGCCATAGTGAAGACTGGTGAAACAAACAGGAAGGACTGAGTAGTACTGGGGTGTAAACAAACTGCCTTCTGTCATCTTTGTTACCTGGCGACTTCCAAGCCCCTAGTCAAGTCCTGATGTCTGACACCCCAAGGAAAAGTGTGAAGTTCCAGCAAACATATTGGAAGGCAGTAAGTACTGGAGCTGAAAGGGAGCTTGAAAGTAATTTATTTCAGGGGGTCTTAATCTGAGATTCTAGAAGAGATTTCAGGGGGTTTATAGACTTGAGAGAGAAAAAAAAATTACATCTTTATTTTCACTAACTTCCAAGCGAAATTTAGCATTTCCTTCAATTATGAACGTAGGTAACAAGACCGTGAAGTACTAGATTTCACCAGACTGCCAAAGGAGTCCAAGACACAAAAAAGTTTAAGAACCCCGGATCCAGTCCAACTCAATCACTTCAGGGATAAGGCTTGGGGCTCCAAGACACACTGTGTCTTTTCCACTGCTAAATAGTGGAAGAACTGGGATTCAAGCCTAGGGCCTCTAACACCCATAACCAAAACAGGAGAGATGTGTGCATGACTGAAAACAAAAGGGAAAGGTGTGGTGGAGAAGGCTTTTTCTTTTTCTTTTTTGCTCCCAGCCTCGGAAGACAGTTTCTTTCAGTTGCGAGGGTCAGCTAGCAGGGAGCAACGGTGAAGGACGATGCAAATGAAGAGGAGGGAGGGCACGAAGGGAAGAAAATGGGGAGAGGAAGGGAGCAGGGAGAGAGAGAAGGAAACAGCGAGTAAGAGTCATAGAAGGCAACGTATTGAGGAGGAGAAAGGAAGAGGAAGAAAGGTGCAAAGGCGTGAAAGGAGGGAGAAGGGAGGAGAAAGGGTTCGGTGAGAGCCAAGAGGCAGGGCCAAGGAGAGCGAGCCGGTCTGGGTGGCCCCGGGGCCACGGCTGCACCGACCCTCCTTCCCCTGAGACTGCCGGCGGCAACCACCCTGCACAGCTCGGCCCGACCCCACTCACCGCGAACCCTGGACGGGGGCAAGGGGGCAGCTAGGCTCGCTCACTCCTCTTTCAACCCCCAGACACCCACACAAAAGACGTGAGGGGGTGGGTTACAAAGGCCGGAAGTATATATGAAATTTTCGGCCGGCCTAACTCCACAACATAATCCCATTCCTAACAGCCACCCCACCCCACTTCCGGTTGGGGGGGATGTAGGGTAGTGACACCGGAAGTCTGAGTTCAGAGATTCACGTGCGTCACCACTCCAGCGCATCCCTCCCCCTCCCCCCGTCTCCCTCCTCCCCCCTCCGCCCCGTCGAATTCCCCCCACCTCCGCCTAGGGTTCCTTGACACTCTTAGCTCCCTCTACAACATGAATCTGGCTTACCTCCCCCATTGGTTGTACTGTACTTTCTGAGTGCAGGGATAATGCCTTGGGTTTTTTTTTTTTTCTAACATGCAAGTGAATTGGATTTAAGTGAATGAGGGCTGTGCAAAGTCACCAGCCTCACTCAGGAGCCATCTGGGTCCAGTGGCAAGATAGAGATCAGGACTACTGGAGGTGGCCCTGGAGACCTTGGACGTTTTCTGCTAGGGGCTCAGTTTGACTGAGGCAGCGGTTAAGACTAGGTAAGAAATGAGGCAGAGAATGGCTTTAAAAGAAGCCTAGTGAAAAAACAACAGCAACAGCAACTTAATCTGGGAGGAGAGTGCCCTCAGGTTTTCTGGCCAAAACATACTATTATATAATACTATATAATATATGTAATACTATATAGACTTCAGGCCTGGCTGGCACTCTATCTCCTGTGCCACCTAGCTGCCCATGGGGAAAACAAAAACTTAACAAAATTCATTTGGAGGAACAAAGGGTCAAGAATAATGAAAAATGGCTAGAATTTCTTTCTAATATGGTGGCACGGTAGGCCATAGATGAGCCCAGAACCACAACCACCCCAGTAAAGCTCTAAAAATTCACTTGAATACAAAAAAAAAAAAACCAAAGAGAAATTACTTATAATCACCACCAAAGAGTATAAGACTGTACAAAAAGACAAGAAAAAATGTGCCAAAGTACTAAGTCAAGGGCGGCTAGGTGGTATAGTGGATAGAGTGCCTTCCTAGTGTCAGGAGGACCTGAGTTCAAATCCAGCTTCAGATACTTACTAGCTGTATAACCCTGAGCAGTCACTTAACCCTGTTTGCCTCAGTTTCCTCTCTGTAAAATGAGCTGAAGAAGGAAATGGTACTTTTTTTTTTTAGGGCAGCTAGGTGGCACAATGGATAGAGTGCTGGACTTGAAGTCAAGAAGCCTCATCATCCTGAGTTCAAATCTGGCCTCAGACACTTACCAGCTATGTAAACCTAGACAAGTCACTTAACTCTGTTTGTCTCAATTCCTAATCTGTAAAATGAGCTGGAGAAAGAAATGGCAAACCACTCCAATATCTTTACCAAGAAGAAGAGTCAGACAAAACTGGAATGACTAAACAATAACAACAACATTAAGTCAAGGCTTCTTAAGTTGGGGTATATGAACTTAGAATTTATTTTTTTAATGTTTTTATAGTTGTATTTCAATATAATTGGTTTCTATTGTTATATTCTTTATTTCATTTTTATGCACTTAAAAGCATTATTCTAAGAAAGTGTTCATAGACTTCACCAGATTGTCAGTGTGGTCCATGACACAAAAAAGGTTAAAAACTCCTTTTTGAAGCAGAGATGTTGGAAAGCACAGCAGACAGAAACCACAGAAGGGGACTGCCAAACTGATACACAGGGCAGGATCCAAGCAGCCTGCACTTAGACCAAAACAGGATAAATGGACAAGGCAAGGCTTGGGAAATAAAACACTTTTTTTTATTATGTATTTTTTTTGTTTGTTTGTTTTATCACCTAGGACCTTGCAACAGGCTTTCTGCAAGCAAAATCAATAACATCCAGTTGGAGCTTGTCATCTTCACAGCAATGGATGAACATTGGGTATGGGACTGTGGCAGAAAGAGATAGAGAAAGGAACAAGTAAACTTAACAGACAACTGAATCAAAATCAAAGATTTCCTATAGAAAACAGGGCCTCGCCTTGGCCTATACATCCAGAAAGAAGCAGGGCTAGCCCAAGCTATTCAAGAGTACAGGAGGGAATAGAATCTGACTAAAGCACGAAGTCCCAATCCAGAAATCAAAGCTAGAGATAGTAAAGAGGAAAGAAGAGTTATTCTATAACAAGTCCAAGTAGAGTCTATAGAAAAGAATGGCTTGGCCACAGAAACTACAGAGTACCTAGAAGAAATGAAGCAAAAGCAACAAAATGTAATGTTAAATGAAATAAGGACTATGGAGAAAAGAATGGAAAAGAGAAATAGCTTAGAAAAGAACATAGTAAAATTTTATCTAATAAAATTACTCCTTGAAAACTAGAATGGGCTAAACAGAAAGTAGTGACTCTACAATAAATATTTTGAAAAGCCAGAAGATTAAAAAAAGAAGAAAATATATATCATCAAAAACAACCAACCTGGAAAACAGGCCAAGGACAGATAATCTGAGGATAAGATTACCTGAAAATCCTGATACCCTCCTCCCCAACTCCTCCACAAAGCCTGGATATCATGTATACATCAAAACTTCCCAGATCTATTAGAACCAGAGAGCAAGATGAAAACATAACTAATACCCAGGTCTGTGAGGGACCGTCTGATGTTGACTACTGCCAAGTGCAGATTGTGGCAAGATGGGGTAGGAACAAGATATTAGGAAGTAACTGGAGCTCACTCGCCCGAGGCAGGGGCTGTGCTAGGCAGAGTTGTGGTGAACTTGGATGGGAACTGGATACGGAGAAGTAACTGGAGCTCACGCTCCTGAGGCATTGGGCAGTGCTATGTGGAGCTGTGATAAGCTGGAGAAGGAACAGGATACAAGAAAGTAGCCGGAGCACGTGCTCCTGAAGCAGGGGGCTGTGCCACGTGGGAGTGGGACGGGCAGAGAACGAGTTCCCTTTGTCTAGTCCCCTCCCTAGGTACAATGTCAACCCCAGACGTCTCCTTCCTGACTTCCTAGGTCACGTACTTTCCCTTTGTGTAGCACTGACCCCAGACGCCTCCTCCTGGTATCTGGGCCTGACTTCCTGGGTCACGTACTCTCCCTTTGTCTGTGCACTAATCCCAGATGTCTCCTTCCTGTATCCGGTCCTAGCCTCCTGCGTCACTTCCTCTCCCTTGGTGCTCTAAACCCAGACATCCCCTTCCGGTATCTGATCCTACAATCAATGACTAGTAGGCGGGCTGAGGAGGAGGGGCTAAGTAGGTACTTAAGGAACAGTAGAGATCTGAGCTCGCTCTCTTTTGCTCCTGCTCTCTTGCTCTGGCCTTCCTGCTTGGCCTTGCTGTGATGGCCTCTGAATAAAGCTCGAGTGTTTGCACCTCCTGATCGGGCTCGTCTTTGTGTTTATCCGGGTGGGCATCGAAGACTGGTAAGTATGACTCTGGCAGCCTGCTCCTTATAGGAGGAGAGTGCACAGCGCGACCGGTACACATAAGTATCACAACAAAGTTTTTTAAAAAGAAAGATTCATAATCCAATGTTTCCTTTAATGTCATAAAAGTTGAACAAACTTAGTTAACCAGAATCATGATCTCAAATATCCACTAAGGAAACAAACCTACTTAAACAGACTTTATAAGTAAACTAAGTCATGTTATAGATTAAACTACATTTAGAGGGTTCACAATGGGTTGATTAAGGGAAAAAGGACTTAATATTAACAGAAAACCGGCTTTTAGTTAACCAAAAGTTCTAGGAAAAATGGCCCTGAGCCTTGAATAAAAATTAATAAAAGAAATGCAATTTTATATGTAAACTCCTTAATCCAAATTTGAGAATTTATTACTAAAACATAGTCAAAGACTGAATAGCCCATTAGAAACCAATCATATGTATGTGTATCCATGTTCTTAGAGAAAATAGTTTAATTTTGTTTACTACTCCATTAAAATTTAAATTTTTTACATAAATGAAACCTACAACTTTATCACATCACTTCTTTGTCCTACCCCACTTTGAGAATACATGTATATATGTATACATATCGATCATATCATCCAGAAAGAATGAGATAATTTATAACTCTAATCTTGTAGATGAATATGTAACTAATAACAAGGAGATGGCAAGCTTAAGAACTGGTTGTCTTAGTTGCTCAGGTTAGGAAACTGACTATAAATTCAGATTAGAAAAATTAAAAATGGTAAGATTTTTCATACTTGTATTCCATTATAGTAACCCAGAGACGTTTGAGTATTGAAACAAGATTCATCATATTAAAAAAAAAAACTTTTATAGATTTGTTATGAAAGGAAGAAAAAGGGACATGGTTATAAATCAAGACTATCCCTTCAAGAGGACAGACTGACCTGACATCAGCATAACAGGACAAAGTTTCCTTGGCTCTGTTTGAGTCATAGGTAAGAATCATAGTTAACCTTTATTTTGGAATAGCCAATTCTACGGCAAAGATCCACGTTATTCACAGGATATTAGCCAGGTTTAAAATTACCCAGGTGGGGAAATTTCCTGTTCAGAAGGGAAAATAGTATATTGGGGAAACTCAGTCTAGAGGATCCTACCATAATCTCTGCAAGGTTATCCCCTCAACTTTCTTTTTTTTTTTTCATCCAAAGACAAGGTTTATTAAAGATCCGCCATATTAGCCAGATTCTTGAGGAATCTGAGAGTCTGTGAGGCATTGACTAGATTTTAAGAATCTGAGCAGTGGCTAGATTTTAAGAATCTAAACAATGGCTAGATTATAAGATATCTAAGCACTTTAATGGAGACAAGATGGACCTTTTATACAGAAAGACTGTGGGAGGGATCTAGGAGTGGCCAAGTAGTTTGGGGTGACTACAATGCCTGGGGCCTGGACCACATGGCCAAGGGAGAATGGAACCTAGCTAGGATTAAGGGTGGGAAATGGCAAGGGGCCATAGGGAGGTAAAACAATGAAGGGGAGATTGAGTGTAGCCACAATGAAAGGCCAGTTGATGGGATTATAGCCTCAGGCAAATGCCAGAGATTTGGCCATGTGGGAAAGTCCAGGAGTTTTCCTTTTGGGGGGTCTAGCTCCCATCCTCATCATTCCCCCCTCAAACAAATGGGACCCAAACTCTTTTGGGGTAAGGGGCAAAGGTAT